TCCTTTCGAAATATATTGAGTTTTCTCAATTGTCGACACAGACTCCTTTCAAAATATAGCGAGTTTTGTCAGTTGTAGACACAGACTCCTTTCTGAAATATAGCAAGTTTTCTCAGTTGTAGACACAAAGGGATGCTGAAGCTGGTTTTCAGCATCAGTGGTACTGTGGCTAACTTCCTGTAAGGGACTTGGACCCGGTTTCCAGCACAAGCCGAAACTGGGGGACAGCCCCTGCAGTGACTCCGAGTAGAATTGTGAGGTCAGCGGCCTCTTTGAAATTCAATATAAGGGCCTCGCCACACCACTCTTGAAATATGCAAAATGAGAATGATTTTTTCTCTAGAACATGGCCAGATGCACCCGCCACATTTTTGTCTTTTTCACATTTCGACAGTGGTGTGGTGAGGTCAGGTATGGTGCATACAAACAGAAATCAGAGCAAAGTGGACTGGAATTAAAGCTAAGTTGCAAAACCTTCATCTGAAAAAAGCCATTCAACAAATTATTAAAAAATTTAACCTGGACTGGCTGGGGGGCGCTGCAGAGAGGGACTTGGGTGAGGTAAAATGGCCAGGGGAAGAAGAGATAGGAGGATCTCTAAAAAAAGACTTCCATCTCATCTTTCGGGATTGGTTCAAACTTCATTCAGGAGCCTTTCTCAGATCTCCGAATTGTTTCCCAGATCCATTTCCTCCGTCTGAGCTTGCTATGGTAGAAATGCAATGGTAACACTCAGGGATAGGATAGCTTGGTTGAAAGAGTCTATTTGGCGGTCCTAATGGACTGAAGAGACTTTCCTTTCCCTGTTGCTCTTCCGGAGTACTTCTTGCACTGCTCAGTCAATCCCCTGGAATACAGGGCAATCAATGCTGGAAGGGGTACGTTCTCTACATTGATCAAAGTTTGGTTTTGATTCTTCATTTCTACTTGGTAATTAAAAAAGGAGGGAGGGACTAGTTTTTTAGCAGTAGATATCTGGCGCCTGGTATAAGGGCGAAGAGGTTTCCTCCCCCCCCCTTAACTACCTGCACAGTCAATCCTTTGGATACCGGAGTAATCAATGCTGGCAGGTTTCACAGTCAACTTCCTGTATTCATTTTGTATTCATTCTGTATTCATTATGTAAAGGGACGTTGGACCCGTTTTCCAGCAGGTGATGCTCCCCACCAATAGACGGAGCCTCTCCCCGGGTGCTAGTGGTGTCCGATCTTATCAGTACCACTAGCACCGCAGGGGGGGGGGGGGTATTAAAAAAAAAAAAAAAAAAGGTCAGGTATGGTGCAGCATAAAGGTAGCTTCGCCAAATCTGGCGCGCGTTAGCGCTGGCACAGTGATGGAGTCGGGTGCGGCGGAGGGGATGCGGACGTGTGAACGCGCATCACATGCGCTGATGCTGCTCCGGGTGCGCATTTCCGGGGGAACGTGTGGGCGTGGCTGGCAGGCGCGTTTGTGTGAAGTGTGGGCGAGCAACGCAGCAGGGCGCGCGGGTCAACCTGGCAGGGAAAGCGGGTGAGCCTGGCTGATGGGCGCAGGCATCGTCTACAGCATGCCGCCGTTGCTGGTGGACGTATGGGAGTTGCCGGGGATGCACGTGTGAGCTGCTGGTGTGTGAGCCACACTGCCATGTCAGCACTAACGTGGCATCCACGTCTTCAGGATCTGGACCAGGTGCTGGTGTGTGGCGAGAAGGCTAATTCTATAGAGGTTATGAGATAGATTTTGGAAGGCGGCAACAGGCTTGAACCTCATCACTTGGTACCTCCTGACCTTTGAAAGCACTTGTGTGCCATCTCTCTGTTTCGCGCTTCATGCGAGTGATGCTGCAGGCTAGCATGCCGTATGGACGGGAGTTTTGCTTTTGATTGAGCATTGCTTCAGGAGTAATCACTTCGGCTCTTTATCTTGCGAATTTTTGGTGGAGGAGGTCGGCTCATCGTGAGAAGAAGAAGAGTAGGGTGTGTCCCATGGAGTGGGAGGAGGATTGTTGGGAGGTTATGAGTGGGAGGTCGTCGAGGATGGAGTCCAAGAGCTACCCAAGGCGTCGTCACAAGAGGGAGGACTTCAACTTGACATTGTTCACCGGCTGATCGTCGTCCTATCCGTTTCATTTACAAGGGATCATTATCACCAATTTTATGGGTAGGTACCGCCATTATCATCATCATCAGTGTTGTTATCATCTTTGGTGATGTGTGATTTCATCATCATCATCATCATTACCATCATCATCAGTGTTGTCATCATCCTCGTTGATGCGTGGCGGGGACGGCTGCGGAGTCGTCAAATGGGGTGTTGTCTTGTCTGCTTAGGTTCGTGGAATCCCATCATCTGCTTGTCATCACACCTGTGTCGTCATTTGAGATCGTCTTCATCAGCATCTTCTTCGTCATCATCTTCGACGGCGTCAGTAGCATTGTATCATCATCACAGGTCGTTCTCATCAGTCACATTATCATCATCATCTTCGTTATAATCAAGGTACGTGAGTATAGGAAAAATGGGGGGGGTAGTTTCTCCTCCATGATCTTCTCTATTCCTTTCCATTTTCTATCTCTATTCTGCTCTCCTCTTGTACCCTTCACCTTCTCCTCTCTAATCATCTCTTCCTTGCTTACCGCCTTCTTTTCTTTATCCTCACCTGCTTGCGGTTTGGTTTGTTGGAGACCTGTGTGATGGTTAGTGGTGAGTGTTGCTAGCTGCATGGCGAAATGCTGAGCGCTGGCTGCGTGGCCTGATGATGTGTGTTGGATGCGTGGAGGGTTGCTGGGCGATGCCTGTCGGCAGGCTGCTGGCCGCTGGCTGTGTGGCAGGATGTTGAGTGCCAACTGCTTGATGGGGGGGTGAAAGGATGGGGCATAAAAGAGGAAGGGGGTAAAGGAGGGGGACAAGGGGAGGGAAGGAAATAGGGTTAGAGGGGGGGAGGAAGATGGAGGAGCGTCTCGCGCATTTCTGTTTTTTTTTTATGTACGAATCTGTTTTCGATAATATGCTTACTGTGATTCTCATCAATTTTATTCCTATTTAGCTCTCTTATTCCGTTTGATTATTAGTCACTTAATATATGTCTGAACTGTATTCTCGTTTCTATTTAGCCATCATTCAATCTTCTCATCACTAATTAACATACTAATTCCAATATTGTCAAAATTTTCGTAATTATCATCTTCAACGTAAATCCTAAATAAATTCCTGATATTTTCCGATAGATTCTCAATCATCCGTAACTCAAACATTGGTTCTTCATAATAAACCAATCTGAATGGTATTTTTTAATACTTGAAATTTTCTAATTAATCAATTACTAATTAGTAATTAATTAATCATTCTTTTGTGTTCAGGCGGTTCAAGTCTGATTCTGTCATGGAACTCCACATCATTTCCCATAATTTATTTCTATTTGTAATTGTTATTTCAAAATAAAAATCTGATTTCTTTACTTCTCGTACAATCATTTCAACTAGCAATTTTGTTTAAATTTCTCCTGCAGTCTTTTGAATTATTTTTCTAAATGGGTAGGTTGGTCGGAAAGGGGGGTGAACTCTGCTCTGCAGGGGCTGCACAAGGTGGGTAGTGATGCCCTGAAAGGGGTAGGAACAAATTTGTGGGGATTACTCTATTATGGGGCTGAGGGGAGATTTCAAACCTCAACGGGGGAAGATTAGGGTAAGGAGCAAACAAAGGCATTTTGTGGGTGGGAACTGAATGCCTCTGGGGGATTGGGGTGGAGGTGGGGCTGTTCTTAGTTGGGGCCGATAATGATAAGGATATTCTTTTTTCGGAGGAGGCAGCGACGGGACAGGGGAAAGGGGAGAGTGGGGGAATTTTCCATGATCAATCGTGATATAAAAAAAAATATAAAAAAATTAACCAATCATGTTCTAGTTGCGGCGCATGTGTGCGGTGCGCTGTGCGCAGGTTTAGCAGGGCGCGCACTGTGCGCTGTGCGCTGTGCGGTGTGTTGTGCGTTGGCCACACCCCCTCTTCCCCCGCCCCCAGCAGCCATACCGACATACCAACCTGCAACCAGACCCCCCCCCGGGCCCCTGCAACCAGCCCCCCCCACTCACCCTGCACTACCCCTGCCTTTTTTCCCTTTATTACCGTATCCCCCACTTTAGTCCTGACTCCTGTGCCATCCCCTGAGAGTTACAGACAAATCAGAGGGGTGGGAGGGTTGCGAAGTTGCAAAGTTGCAAACACTCACCTGCAGTCGGAGTATGCACGTACCAGCGATGGCAGTCAGGGCATCCGTCCAACGACGCGACAACATGGCATCAAAAGAACACATTCACAACAACAATGAATTCGCACTGCAGCATCCACAACAAAGAATGACAAACAAAACATAAGACCAGTCAATCAAATCCAATCTTTGTGGCAGCTCACGTAGATATTCGGCTATTATTCGTACATTCAACATTGCGAGAACAAAAATAAGCAAAATAACAGTTTGAAATTTGGAAGTTCAAAGCTTCATGTCAGAAATACGATCATTGTTAGAACTCTGCACTTGGAGCATCGGTTACCTAAACTGATGAAATCATATATCGAACGGTTTCCCTCTACTCAGCCTCTACCTGATCTTCCCCCTCTTCTTCCCCTCCCTCACTTCCTTCTCCGTTTGTGCCTTCCATCCCACTGGTGTGAGATGACGAGGAAGCCGATGAAGAACTTGAGTTCGTGGACGTGGACGAGCCTTCAGGCTCGTCCTCTTCTGGACTTTCTTCGGGGACATCCTCATCATCGTCGTCACTTACAACGACGGACTTCTTGGCCTTCCCTCCACGTGCGCTCTTTTTGGTAGCTTTCGCTGCCGCTTTGGCTTTGGCCGCTGAGGCTTTGTCAGCAGCAACTTTTGCTTCAGCTGCTGCAGCGATAGCCTTCTCTTCAGCCTTCTTCGCCTTGTGTGCCGCCTGTTCTGCGTTAGTTGGACGGCCCCTCTTCGGTCGTGGCTGTTCTTGTTGAACAACCTTCCTCTTCCCACGCCGTGCGGGCGCATCATCATGCTCCACCGTTTGTTTGCCCTTATCTTTCCATCTCCTCTTTATTCGCGCCTCATCCCGCCCCTGTACCCAAGTGCCTGCTTGTCACGCTTCCATTGCGAGAGCGTAACCCTCCTCTGTGTACAACTCTCCAGTCACAAGCAGCTGGCAACCAGATCTCCTTCGCAACTCTTGCTCACGGTGCTTCCCAGGCTTCGTGCACTCGTGCCAATCGTGCTGCCTTGTACCGACAAGTAGAGTCTCCTCCTCCTCGACCAGCTTGTCATCAACTTCGTCATTCCGCATGAAAGTCCGCCGCATTGGGATCTCGTCTCCCTCATCATCGCAGTCCACCTCCACAACCTCCTCATGATCGACATCATCATGGACCCGATCCAACCAGTGCACATACCACTCCTCCTTTCTCCTTGTCCACCGGGACGTCATCCACCCATGGGATGTGGATATCATCCCCCTCGCCACGCTGATTCCTCCTCAGCAACCGAACATTCCAACTGATGTACACCAGGTTCGCCATCCTCTCTGGCAACAACTTCGTCCGCCTCCATCCATAGATAAGCTCATGCAAGCTCCAATTCTGCTCGCAGGCGGGAGGGGAGCTTGCCTGGCCAAGCAATTTGATTGCTTGTGGTGCGAGGAGGTCGTGCTTCGAGCCGAACGCCTCCCACCACAAAGCTGGCGGCTGGTCGCAGGCTCGTTCTCGAGCTTGCTCCGTCGAGAACCCTCCCAAAGCATTGACCCATTGATCAACCTGGGAGCTCACTTCCTGACGCCGTTCCCGAGACATCCAGGAGTACAACCAAATGTTGAACCCGACACGAACCTCCGGATCGCGCTGTGCGTTGTGCATCCGATGCTCAGGGTCCAAGAAGGCTGCAACACAATGTAGCTCGCTTGTCAGAAATGTCCAGCGGCCCATGAGGATGCGCTCCACCGCCTCGTGCTCCTCCACTGATAAGGATTCTAGGGCACACAGATTTTGCACAACCTGATCCATCTTGAAGTAAACCTTCGAGATGGTTGCTCCTTGCCCATCCACCAAACGGAGCAGCTCCACCACCGCATGACATCAAGCGCCTTCTGCAAATTCCTCCGGAAGTCGCCCTTTTCAAGGACGATTGCTGTTACATCGCGGAATGCCACCAACTGGTCATTCCGCACCATCTTGTCCACCCAACCCGTGTCGCACACACAACGGTCAATAACTTTCCGCAATTCCTTGAGCGACTGCAGCATCTCGAAGTTCGTTGCAAATCTGGTTGCCGCTGGACACTTCAGCTTTGTCTTTGGGGAGTAATGGTGGAACAAAGCCCTTGCCTTGTCCACATTAGAGAAGAAACGTCCGACCTTGTTGCCAGCATCGACCACCTGCGCCATCGAAGGCATTTCCTTGTACATGTCCTCCAGCGCAAGGTCCAGCGCAAGCGCCGTATAACCGACGCGGAAGATGGTCGGATAGGCGGACTCCACATCTTCCTTGCCTTCACGCACACCCTTGCGTTGTCCATGACTACACCAACGACCGCATCCGCTCCAATTTCCTTGATGACGTTGTCTAGCACCCGAAAATAAGTTGCCGAATCCTTCTCCTTGCCCTCTATGCAGACGGACTTCCAGAATACTGTACCGACGGGCGAGGACACCATGACATTCAAATGTGGTTTGTTGTGGCGGTCCGACCAACCGTCCATTTGCAACATACACCCCATCTTCTTCCATTTCACTATCATTGCATGGACCTCCGCCCCTACCGGCGCATACTCTGCGTCCAAGCGCTTTGTCCTTTGCTCGTCCCTTCAGCAAGGCATCCATGTTGGATGGGCCGTCCTCACGGCCTGAAGGAACTCGAGGAAGAACACGTCCTCCACCAAGCTGAATGGCTGGTTGGTGCACATTAAAAACCGGTCAAGGAATCGGCTTGTACGCTCATTCATCGTGACCACATTGTCGGCCTTCTCGATCACTGTCTGCCTCAGCGGCTTGCCCGAACTTGGCTTCGATCCAAGAGCGGTGCCCCCAGTGGACTGAGGTGTGGCCGTCTCGCCGGTAATGCTTGCACCAACGACCTGAGAGCTCGGAAACTCCAGTGCATGACTTGAAGCGGTCGGCATGTTGCTGGGCCCAGCACCTCCAGCCTCGATCTGCATCAACATGCGAGCAAGGCACTTCCCGTCCAACATTCCAGCTTCCCTCCTCGCCCTCTCCTCCACTGACAACTGGACAGTTACGTTATCAAGGGTGCACCTGTCCAAGAAGTGATCCCGGAGCCTCATGGCAGTCCCAACCAACCGCAGGTCGCAGTAGTTGCACCTCCAATACTTCGATCCCTTTCCCACATTCTTCCCCCGCGTTCCCTCGATCGTGAAATGTTTCTTCAACTGCTCCTGGAGGTGCTTGAGCATCGATGCCTTCGACATCCCCTGCACGGCATCAATAACAACCATGGCGAAGTGGCAGACACAGCGATTTCAGCCATCTCATACACCCTCAATCTCTGTTGTGGTTATGACCCCCCTCTATCTGCCCTCCAGATGGAACGACTGACGACAACAAAGTGAGCAAAAAAAAAAAAAAAAAACACGGGGTGTATGGAGGAAGAGAGATAGAGGAAGATAGATGGAGGAGACATAAAGGAAGAGAGGGTGAGGAAGAGACATGGGGGAGGAAAGGTGTGTGTGTGTGTGTGTGTGTGTGTGAGTGTGTAAGAGAGAGAGATGGAGAGGGAGAGAGATGGTGGAGGAGAGATGGTGGAGGAGAGAGGGTGGAGGAGAGATGGTGGAGGAGAGATGGTGGAGGAGAGATGGTGGGCGGAGGAAGAGAGGTGGGG